CCGGTATGGTAGATCTGTGGTATAGCCGTGGGTAACAGGGTGCTGAGAGTTTACAGAGGCCTGTTCATACGGTCTTGACAATGGCGACGACCTGCTGATGTCCGACTGGAACGGTACTATCCTCGGCCCACCACACGTATGTGCCCCTTTCTCCATGTCACATGCTACATACTGATCCCGTCGCAGAGCGTCCACGAGAATCGCATTTACAGCGTATCGATCCACTGCGGCCCTGACTACCCCGACACTCCTCCCGAGATCAAGTTCACAACCAAGATCAACCTACCCTGCGTCAACCCTCAGAACGGAAAGGTGCGATAGTCGGAGGCGTAGATGCTGGGCGCATACTGACGATATCAGGTCGATGGGTCGAAGCTGCCATGTCTGGCTCAATGGAAGCGCGATTTCACCATGGAGACGATACTGATAGAGCTCCGAAGGTTAGCACACCCATCAGCTGAAATTCATTTGCACAATACTAATTGCGCATCAGGTATATGGCGCTGCCTCAGAACAAGAAGCTTCCACAGCCGCCTGAAGGCGCGATGTTCTAGAAGAACGCGCACAGCCTGCTCCAGAAAAGATCTAAGGATCAGGCATGATATGGGCATAAGATATGATGCACGAAGGAAATGAATGCGCATGGAACGGAGTTATGGTCTGCTAGCGTAGCCATACAGCCTGACAAGAGATCAGGATTATCAACAACTTATATTACTTCATTTTGCTCCTGTCTCGTTCTTTGCGGAGTCTCTGAGGAAGCTCTTACAGCAGAACATTGAAGTCAGTTACCAGCCTGGCGAATATCGAGTACCTGTATACGCGCAATGTTGTACTTTGGAAAGAGGTGGTGCGCACGTGATATCTAACATCCCAGCCCAAATCCTTCGCGTTGCGGCGCAGGCCTCGGACCTCCACCACCGAGCCATCTCATGCATGCCCCGATTCCTCCAGCCGAAACGGTCGACACAACACCGCGTAGCAGGTTAGACACTGAGCCTTTTGGTAGCTACCAATAAACCCTAACATCGTTTCTAGTAATCGCTCTTTATCGAGCCTTGCTGTCGCGATGTTCCTCTGCTCCGATCCCAGATGACGACCAAGTCTCTTTGTTCAACGCCATTCGCAACAAATTCCGGCGGAACAGGAAAATACAGAGCCCTTATCAATTGGGTCTGAGCTTCAAAGCTGGTTATGAGGTGCGTCTATGTTACTGCAGCTTTGAATTCATCAATTGACAATGTGTAGACACTCGACCATCTCGATGCCTCCGCTACTGGCAACACAGCCAGCGCAAGCACTTTGACGCAACTGATCTCTCAATTGCCCCGCGGTCTAACACGCGCCCCTCCGATAAGACGGTATGAAAAGACGACGCTACCAGACCCTCCCAAAGAACGGCTTGCGTGCCTTCCACCCGAGAGAGCTGTCCTCAACGTGCGACCCTACGCAAAAACCTCTGGGCCCCGCCGCGTCCCTATCCTCGCCTCCGCAAACGGCGTACCCTTCCTGCGCCTCACGAAGCCGCAACCTCCAGCACTTAGTCGCGTCATCCAACAACGACTACGGCGCAAGAACGAGCTCTTCGACACGAGGGTCCTCCTGGAAAACTGGTGGCTCCCCATATGTCAGCAGGAGGACGTGTGGGACGTACTCATAACCGCGCAATCGAGGGAGCGCGAAGATACTGTGAAATGGCAAACTGCGATTCGTGATTCATTGAGGGAGAACCAGGAAGCACACCAGGCGGACATCAGGAAGGATATAATGATGACGAAGAAGATGCAGAGGATCGTAGATATGGAGACTGAGCTTGCGCTCAAGGAGGGACAGACGATTGTGAGGGGAAGGAAGAGGCATCCTTTACGAGTTATCAAGCCGGAATCATGAGCACAATATACTGTCTTATGGTTTGTTCTATCTGCGCTTTGCAAGATGGGTATATGTTCGACCTGACATGCCATGCCAATGCACTGTAGTCACTATGAAGCCGCGTCAATCTTCAACTTCCCTACATCCACTCCGTCTACACCATCGTCATCGTCGTCATCATCATCCACCTTGCCGACCAAGCCTCGCTGCCACAGCTCCTTACCCGTCAACTTCTTCTCTTCCTTGACAATCCTCTTCTTCTTATCCTCCAGTTCCTTCTCCTCTTCCTTCCGCCTCTTCTCATCCTCCATCTCCTTCCTAAACCTTTCTCGCCATGCGAGGAACGTCTCTCGTGTGACCGCCTCACCCTGGAACTTCTTGTTCTCTTCCTCCTCGGCTTTGGCCTTGGCAATATCGACGAGGGCTTGCTTCGCGTTTTGGCGCTCCGTTATGAGGAGCTCGGCGCTGTCTTTGAGGACGGTTACGAGGGTGAAGATCATGGCCATGCCGAGGTTCTCTTCTATCGTGTCCGTGAGCGAGTCTAGCAGGCGTTGCTTGTCTTCTTGTATGTCGAGGTATTGGTGTCGTGGCGCGTTGGGCGGTTGTGTTACGTCGAGTCGGGGGGCTTCGTCGGGGTAGTTGGGCGGGTAGGAGACGTTTAGGATAATGACAGCTGGTGGGCGTGAGTTGGGGTCTTTCTGTAGATATGATGCAGTCGCATACGTTGCTCTTCTTCGGTCTCAACGTCTTCGTGGCGGCCATCGTCGAGCGTTATTGCGATTCGGAACTCTGTCTCGGAAACATCTGCGGAGTGTCAGTATGTAGTAAGAAGATGCTGCGCAAGGTAGCGCTACCTGTGATCTCGTCGGGGAAGATAGACTCGAGCACCTCGCGCTCTTCTTTCTGATCCTCGATACCCATTGCGTAAAGTAGTATGGAAATTAGTAGAGTGATGGCATCTGCAAGTGACGCTGAGGCTGCTCTGGCGGGGCGCGCCTTCCCCACGTTAGCTCCGTCCGACTGCCGATCTCTAGAAATTTTTGGGAATCTTGGACCGCTACATCATACATCCACAACACGACACAAATCTCACATCATGGCGAAAACGAAACCTACCGATCGCAAGGCGAAGAAGAGCGCAAAGAGCGGCGCAGTAAAAGAATCGAAGAAACCGAAGGCGTCACCAGAAGAACTTTTGATTCAAGCCGCTACCTTCCTACAAACGTCACAACCCGAAGAAGCGCTGGTCGCCGCACGAAGAGCCCTCAACCTACTCCAACCCGGTACATCAAAACCCTCGGCTGCAGCGCTACCTGCACTGAACCTTCTCGGCGAGATCAACGTCGAACTGGGCGACCCAGACTCTGCGCGCGAAGCCTTTCAAGCAGCGATTGTAATCGATCCAGAAGGCGCGAACGATGGCGCTGAGAAGTTCCTATGGCTCGCACAGTTAAACGAGGAGGGAGGCGCCGAGAGTGTGCGGTGGTTCGAGAAAGGCATTGAAGTGCTGAAGAGGGAGATCAGTGAGCTGGAAGGCAAACGGGTTAAGAAGGACGAAGTAGAGGAGCTGCTAGAGGAGAAGAGGCAAAAGATAGCGAACTCGCTCTGTGGTATTGCTGAAGTCTACATGACGGATCTGTCCTGGGAAGAAGACGCCGAGGCGCGATGCAACGCCGCCGTCACCGAAGCACTACTTTTCGCACCCGAAAACCCAGAACCACTACAAACGCTCGCATCGATACGCATCTCGCAGCTCAAGCCCGACGAAGCAAAATCCGCACTGACACGGAGTATGGATCTTTGGAAAGATCTCGACCCAGACGATCCCAAGGTCCCAGACTATTCGACTCGCATCAGTCTTTCTCGCCTGCTCATGGAAGCTGAGATGGAAGATGAAGCTATCGAGGTGTTGGAGCGGTTAGTGGGCGAGAACGACGGCAGCGTCGATGCTTGGTATCTGGGCGGTTGGTGCCTGCACTTGCTCGCGGGAAAGCAAAAGATCGAAGGAGAAGAAAAGGTTGCAACATCACTACTGCGTGCCAGTCGCGATTGGCTGGAGAACTGCCTCAAGCTCTACAACATGCTGGAGTGGGAGGACGAGCGGCTGAAGGAGCACGCTGATGAGATATTGAGGGAGCTCAACGACGTACTGGGTCCCTCTACCGGCGAGGAAGATGAGGACTGGGAAGACGCCGACGAGGAGATGGATGAAGACGATGATGACGACAATGAGAAGATGGATGGCACGTGAAAGTGAAAGTATAACTTTACAGGCCGGCTTGGCCGTGTTGAGGCCGCCGATGGTCAGCGATACGCGGCTCCGCTGTGAATGGGACCGAAATTGGGGATATTGGGCAGCACGGGCAGCATGGGCAGCAATGTTGGGATGTTACGATCGAAGTAGTACAGGCTGCGCATAGTACAAGCTGGATGTAGTGTAGATTTATTAGATACCCAGGGTGCGTGGATGGACAGCAGACGCGCGACCTGAGGCAGGCAGTTGGCAGCACCAGCGTGGGACGGGGCCCCTGCATGTGGGATGCCGCCGCGAACCTATGTAGGATGGGCACTAGGATGCTGTCAGCGGTGCCGTGACAGCTCCTGAATAGACGAAGCCACACGCCAATCATTCCCCGCTTTGCGAGCTACTGAGGTCGCGTCCCGCTTCGAGGTGCGAACGCGAAGCAGCGGCGCATCGGCGACGTGAACAGGACGTGTGTGTAGGACGAGTCGTCGCATGCGGAGCGAGTGCGCCAGTCGGTTGCAGGGCAGGCAGCCCATTGGCGCGCTGCGCTGAGGGTGTAACACCAAGGTGCGGTGGATGGGATGAGACATGGCCTGCGCTTGGCAGCTCTGTCGACGTCGCCGGCGCCGCCAACGCCACGAATAATCAATCATGCTCGTCGAGACCAAGACCGCCCTGGGGAGTTGCCGCAAAGTCAAAGTGACGCTGCGCCATCGCCCTCGCCCGCCGACGTGGTGCCTTTAGATCCCAACCCACAAAAGTCAACGCGCCCTCGCCGGCCGTCCCTCGCGCCTGCTCCGACAGATGCTCAGCAAGCCCCACACCCGTACACATCGCATTCGACGGAGAGTGCGTCGCAAACCCTCGGCCGCCCGGGCATGCCATGATCTGGTATCTTCTCTATCCGCTGCGTGGGTGAGTCGCTGCTGCCCCATCCCACGCGTCCGCCTCTAAACGCTGCTCTAGTACCACTGAACCACCACGGCTCGACACCTCGCACCCCATCCGCCGCGCGTTCCAGGCCCACGGCACTGCCACGGCCCGGCATTGGCTGCTCTCCATTGTCCTGACCATCACCGTCTCCGTCCTGCTCTGCTACCAGGCCGTCTTCCAGGCCGACAGCTCCGCCGCCGCTGCCCTCCGCAACCTGCCCAAGCATGTCTGGACATCGACCACCGAGGTTGAGGGCGAGCGCCCCGCCGATGTCGTGGTGCGCCAGGTCTGGGTGCATGGCGACTACATGAATGCAATTGCCCTGCCGGTGCTGCGCGAAGCGATGCATGTGCAGGAAGTGCTCATCAACGGTGGTTTCGACACGCGAGAGAGTGCTGCCTACGACGACCAGCACAGGCTCCAGCGCGATGCCCCGGGCTGCCTTGTCGCACCCGCCGGAGAGAAGTGGGGCTGGCACTCGCCGTTGATGTACTGGGACTGCTCGCTGAGCGCGCTGGAGAAAGACGGCAACCTCCTCGATACCATCAACGCCCATAATCGCATCCGCTCGGCACTCAATGTCACCCTGCGCCCGAGCACTGTCTTTGCCGGCAAGTCCTTCTCGGCCACTAAACTTCGCGCCGCGGATGCGCTGGTTATCACGCTGTTCGACCAGACCAACTCGAGCTTGGGAGATACGTGGGACTCACGGTCGCGCCTTCTGGCTGACAAACTGGACCCAGACTGGACCATCTTCCCGCCCGACGGCCAGGTGGGGCGGAGTCGACTCTACGAGTTCCGGTTCAAGCCGATGACTCTGAACGATGACTTGTTCTTAGCTGCGTCCTACCTGGTGACCGCAGTTTATGTTATATGGAGGATGATGCAGCTGCGAGCAGTCAAGAGTTGGTTTGGGCTGCTTGTAACCATATGTGCCAAGGTAGGCTCACTACCACATGCTACTACTCCCACTACTAATCACCGGGCAGATGTCTATATGCGTCATCGCTAGTTTCACACTCTGTACCTATCTTGGAATTGATTTAGCGCGAATACCCCGCCCATGGTTTCCTGGAGTTGTTTTTTGTTTTGGATTGGGAAATATGTGCGTACACTGCTGCTTCTCCCCAACCTGGCTGACACAACTAGATTTCGTTTGATTAATGTCGTCCTCGAGACACCCCCGGAGATGCCCCCTCACCAGCGAATCGGAAATGCGCTCGGTGAAGTCGGACATCTATCTCTTGCCATTGCCTTCCAAAATCTGGCCCTTTTGTACTTTTGTTCCCGGCTCGTTTCACCCTGGGTAGCCGACTTTTGCGTCTTCGCTGCCGTCACCCTCGTATTCGACCTTGTTTTCCACTTGACCTTCTTTGTTGCTGTTCTCAGCGTCGACGTGCAAAGAATGGAACTTTCAGACTCACTGGACCGCGCCGATCTTCATCAAAACAACAACAAGAAAAGAACGGAGCGGCAGTCTTGGCTTGGAGCGTTGTTAGAAGGTACCCTGCCACTCAGCACGCGCTTTGCTGGCACAGTCGCGATCTGTTCTATCATCCTTGCTATCAACTGGCACTTTTTCGACAACGACGGCAAGCAATTATCCATCGATACGCTTCGCCGAAATCTCACAATGAGGAGACGGAGACGCACCCCTGACAGCACATGGAGCCCACCACCGATCAATCAGGCTAGGACACCCGCTGATTGGCTTAGGATTCAAGATCACAATACTGCCCGGGAACTATTTGGATTCATCAAGCCGGGTGCTTCAAGCTTCATAGCCCGTATTTACGACCCCATCCTCGTGGTTGCGAAAGGGGCATACGGGCGCGACCGACCTCAGCCGCCGCTGTCTTTCACCGATGGAGTCCGCCGCTTTGCGCAAGCACATGCGTTTCCGGTAGCCTTGCTCGTCGTTACGTTTATCGCGACTGTAACATTATTTATGAACTATCTTCTCTGGACTGGACTCCCGAAAACTTCTGAAGAGACAGAAGATGACGAAGTCACATTGTCTATCAAGACATTGCCGACGCCGCAGAATCTAGACGTTGTGCAATTGGCTTCTTGCTCGAGAGGCCATCTTGCCAGCATATCTCTTGACCGGAGCACTGCATTGTGGCTACATGGCCGCGGAGGCTATCTGCACACAACGCTGCAGACAGCAACGATGAAGCCAAAGCTCTGGCCCATATATGCTACGGCTATGGACGATGGTGGCAACATCCTTGCGATCTGTGCAGACAGCGGACAGATTGGCCTATGGGATATCCCGGCATCCCGTTTCCTTCTGTTTCCCAAGATCGACATTCGTGGGCAGGCGCCCATTCTGTTTACATTTGCTTACCTCAAGACCCGCTTAGATGTCGAAAAGCTCTACCTCATCATCATCACACCAGACGGACACCTGACCAGGCTCGAAGCACGCACAGGCATCCACTACACCAGGCGCATATCAAGCAGTCCCATCGTCTGCACCACAACCTACACCTCACTCAAGGGCGACACCAGCGTTGTGTTCGTAACGAAGCCTGGCGAAGTCCACATCCTGCCGCTTATGGAGGAGGGCAATACGATGTCCGAGGTAGTCGCCGGTCTCGACCCCGGGCCACCTCCAGGCAGCAACCCTGCGAAGATCCGATGTATAGAGGCTGTTCCTAGTCTGGGTCTCATCTTTGCACTCCGCGACGAGGAAGCTGAGATATTTGACTTCACGAGCCGAGCGCTCGTACACTCTTTCCAGATCGGCCACGTCAAGCCGCACTCCTTCAGAGTCTTGTATCCCATGCGACGGACATGTCAATGTGGAGCTCCAACAGTGAATTCGCTTGCTGTCGCATACACAGAGCAAGAAACAGACCACATGATCATGCAAAGTTTCTCCCTTGACGACAACACGTCGTCACAAATATGTCTCGGAAAACCGCTCGATAGGGAGAAGCACGGATGCCGTGGGCTCGACCATGCAAAGGAGGCCGTACATTACGTCGAGCCTGTCGGAGTGTGGGAGGCTACGGATGCGCTCAGTGTCGTGGGGATCAGAAGGTGTATACAGTCACCTACGCCATCGTCCACGACTTCAGGCACTGATGAATCTAGCCAAGGCGTGGATCCAGTGGCGCTCACGTCGGCTCTCAAGCAGCGAGCTCAAAACCAAGGCAGTCCGAAGGCTACCAATTCCTTAGGGGGAGTATTTGCCAAGGGCAGTCGAAAAGGCTTCGTTGGCGACACGGACACATGGGAGGCCTGGACACTCTCAAGCACAGGCGAGTTTCGCTCACGACCACTCGTTCCGGATAACCTGGATGGAACCACAGAGGTCCCTTATGAAGACGAGCTTTTCGTAACAGCTCCTGGGCCAATGACTAGACTAGGGAAGCGTAGCGTGGTCGTCGGCTTTGGCAATACTGTGAAGGTCATCACATTGGGCAAGGAGTCGTTCGATGGCTTGACAAACCTCCAGAGTAACGCCATGGACATTGGCCTTGGTTCGTACAAGTGGAGGGCCCGCAGAGGCACTGGCAGGAAAGTACAGTGAGGATTTGCATATGTTCGGCGCAACGGTACAGATGGGCTCGGGATTTGGGTGGTGGGTGTGATCTACGTGCAACTTCAGCTCTGGTGTTAGACTACGGATATACCCTATGCGCAGTAAGCGCGGCGTTTTCAGTGAGGCTCTTTCGGCCTTGGCCTCAGTGGGGAGATTAGCAATGTACTATATGATTGTTTGCAGCGACTGGAGGCTTCACTTGAGCGTCATGGAGCCAACGTGTACATCGACCTGTGGCAATGCTCCATCAAGCAGGTGGTTTGCCGACACCCAATCGGCGGCATGAAGCGCACCTATAGCTTGAATAGCGAGAGTCGAAGCCCCGCAGCGACGTCGATGTGCATAGACAGCCACAAGTCGCACATACCGAGCCGGCTATCCGCCTAGGCAGACGGCAGTGGTGAGCAGGCTGCATCGCCGTGTGTAACAACGAGGGACAGGATCAAGCTTGGGTTGGACCGCGCGTTGGGTGCATTGCATTGATGGATACAGGCCGAGGGACGTCATGTGGCGTGTGGCTGAGGCGAGCAGTCGTGCAAGGGCAGGGTACTCAGACGGTGTGGTTTTGCGGGGCTAGAACAGGGGAAGAGCCCTTGAGAAAAGGGCCCACGCGACCCCCGTGGGTAGGCGATCGAATCGCGGCACATGCTCAGTCCAACCCTCCCTCCATACAAGACATCCCGACCGCCCAGAGCCGCAGGTATCTTCCTTTTTCTTTTGCGCGCAGCCATTGCTATCCCCAATTGGTACGTCATGGCCCCCTCCGACTGCGGGTGTGGTTGTTCAGAATTTACCCTTTCACATGCGCGGAAGCCACCATCCATGTCCTCTCGACTCTCCCACCGCCCAGCCAGCACCACACTGCACCATGAGACTAACCATGGCATAGTTCAACATCATTATGAGTAAAGCACAATCACCATACGACTCACTCCGGAACATACCGCAGTACTACGACAACTCGGACTCGGAGAAGTCGGCCCTCAACCTCATACTTGCGCTGCGGCCAGAATGGGAGGAAACCAAGGACACAATTGAGTTTGTGCGGTTTACCGATGGCATCACGAACACGGTATGCATATGCTCGCAGCCATGCACTGGCCACGGCCCCCTTTCTCCACGCATGGCTAAGACGACGGATAGCTTCTGAAAGCGGTGAACAACCTGCCCGGCCTCTCCAAGACCGAGGTCGACGACGACGCGATTCTGCTGCGAGCATACGGAAAGGGAACAGACGTCCTCATAGACCGCGAGAGTACGTGACCATGCACCGCCGCCACGACCGAGACTAAACAAGAAAACTAGAGGAAACCCGCTCCCACTCGCTGCTCGCACGCCACAATCTCGCACCCTCTCTGTACGCGCGGTTTGAAAATGGTCTCCTATACAAGTACATTCCAGGCGACGTATGCACGCCTGAAGATTTGCGACGGCCAGACGTATGGCGAGGAGTAGCACAGAGGCTGGGAGAATGGCATGCCACATTACCTATATCGAGCATTAGCAGCACATGTCCCGCGCCCGCACAACTCACATCTCACAACAACAAGCGTGCGTCTCTAGCCGCCATGGCGACCCTCACGCCAGGCAAGCCCATCCCGAATGTGTGGACAACAATGCAGAAGTGGATTCTCGCGCTGCCGACCGACACAACGGCGCAGGCCGAGCGGCGCGATGAGCTCATGCAGGAACTCGAAAGCCTAGTAGCGTTATTGGGTGACACGCCCGGTGTAGGCGGCTCGAATCCGTTTGTCTTCGCCCATTGCGACCTCCTCTCCGGCAACGTGATTCTCGAGCCTACGCCGTCCTCTGCCTCTGCCTCGCGCCGTTCTAGTGCGTCGAGCGGGTCCGACTCGCCCGACACAGCGGCTGCATGCGTGTCGTTTATCGACTACGAGTACGCGACTCCCGCTCCTGCTTCCTTTGACATTGCAAACCACTTCGCCGAATGGGGCGGTTTCGACTGCGATTACAACGCCATGCCCACACGCACCACTCGCCGCGCTTTTCTCCGCGAATACCTCCGCAGCTTCAACGCGCACCAGAATAAAAGTTACAAGGAGGAGGAGCTCGAGATGCTGTTTGAGCAGGTCGATCGCTTCCGTGGCGTTCCGGGGTTTTATTGGGGCATCTGGGCGTTGATCCAGGCGCAGATTTCGCTCATCGAGTTCGACTATGCGAGTTACGCTGAGATACGGTTGGGCGAATACTTTGCATGGAAGAAGACGCTTGATGGCGGGGTCGAGACGGAGAACGAGCGGATGGTGCTGAGGGAGAAGATTTGGGCATCAGAAGAGTAGGAGACGGTATGACGTCGCCGCCATGGGTATGCCTAGGAGTTTGGAAGAGTGGAGAAAGCTGGTTCGGCTGAACATTCAACATGCGGTTTCCTTATTGTTCAATAGGGGCGGGCGCCTTTTTTTCTTGTTCGCTATCAGCTAGAGCACTCACCTTGTTCGCCGTTTTTTTTAACACGCTTAGTACGTTTAATACCAACTTAGAACACGTTCGTTATGGGACTGTTACCAACTCGAAACCCCAGGGCCTACATCGACGTTAGGGTCACCTACTTTGCATGTTTTTATCTTAATGAAGTCTCCAGATCTGTCCAGTATTTCTTCATTTTGAGGTGGCTGCAAAGCCCTGATCTCCTAATCTTAGACAGCACTCGAATGCTTTCATCTACTTGAGACCTGGTAGCACATCGTTGAGGATTAAAGAAGCAGATCAACAGCTAGACAAGATGTTGCCTTCCGTGCGTCCGGGGTGCAGGTCACTTGGAAAGCCCTTGTGCTCGACTTCTCCGCTTCCTGTAGTGTCCTGTGCATGAGACCTCCCGACTGCTCTCAGGCCCATCTCTGATCATCCTCTCACCACGACTCTCAAGCCGACATATGGAACCCTGCCCCTTAATCTTCTCCTCTCATTTTCGCCTGAATTGGGCGCTGGGTATGTGGAAATAGAAGCGTATCTCGGATATTCAATCATAATCTCACACTAAACATGTTAGCACAATCCCTTTTCTCACATTTCAAAATCTGCAGACATACCATCAAGATAATCCGCCGCAATCAACAACTCTAAACAAAGCTCAGGCGGGATATCCATATCCGACACGTCTTTACTTTCCGCGTGCTTCTGGTTGTAGTAGAGGTACTCGCAGACCTTCTCTAGCACCACACCACTAAGCACCTCCATTAGTTTATGATCTGATTATATGTCTTCTGGTGGATATGTGGCGGTACGGAGCGAGAATGCGAGGAAGGCATGGTCTGAGTAGACGTACTTGATCGTAGGCAAGTCAACGCGATTCTGTGCGTTTTCCCGGAAGCCAGCTATTGATACGTTAGCCGGGTCATACGACTGTATCCGGAAAGAGCGACTCACAAAGTGGATCCAGTGCTTTCTTGATCGTTCCTGCTATGCATGCTGCCGAGCGGAGGATCTTGAACTCGAAGCCGTCGTTTGAGACGAGGGTGACGTATTCGGTAGGCTTGTCGTCTGCCATTGTGATGCGCGGTATGAAATATAAGTCTGATAGCTTCTGAGTGTGGTCTGAACGCGGGGTGGTTGGATATAGCGGCGTCGAGTGGGATGTTGTGTGAGAGACGGTGGATATCGCGGGGAAGTTGCGGAGGACAGCGCGCGCTGTCACGTTTTCTCGCGTGGGCGAACGTCGAGATGGGGAGTGGATGGCTTACATCACCCATCTACATTAGATTATACCTTTTCAATTTCTTGTGAAAGAGAGCCACTACGAAGACCAATTGAACAAAGATTCAAACCCAACGGCAATTCCCTCCCCACAGACGGATTGACCGGATTCCACAAACGCAAAGTGCCCAATTCATGACCATGGCGCACCGCCCACGACACGTCCTCATCACAGGCGGCAGCCGAGGCATTGGCCTCGCAATCGCACAACTCTTCTCCAAAAACGCATACCGCTGCACCCTAATCTCGCGCTCAGAACCCGACCTAAGAGCCGCCATAGCAAGTCTAACACCCCTCCCATCCACCTCATCACCAGAAACACCTTCAAATCCCGAGACACATGACCCTGTAGAACCAGTATCATACCAACACGGCTACATCGCAGGCGACATATCCCTAGGTTCCAATTTCTGGCACCTACACCCCTCGCGCCCTTTCATCGCTCAACTACCCAAGCCAGAGCGGACTGCGTTTCCGACACATCCTTCGCGCATCGATGTGGTTGTGAATTGTGCGGGTGTCACGCAGGCGAAGCTCTTCTCGGGATTGAATGAAGAGGATCTGGAAAGTATTATTCGGACGAATCTTACTTCTATGATGCTGGGGACGAAGTTTTTGTTACGGTATGTACATCCAAACGTGTTTTACCCTTGTTATGTGAGGCTCTGTGTTATGTGCAGTTTACTGATTTGCTTACGCGGGTGGTAGGAATGGGTATCTGAGAGGTAGGAGTCAAGCTGAAAATGAGGATCCTGTCATCATCAACGTCAGTTCGCTACTGGGATTGCAAGGCGGCTACGGAGCCGTTGCGTATGCGGCGTCGAAAGCGGGTGTTTTGGGGTTTACTCGCGCTTTGGCTACAGAGTATGCGAGTCACAAAGTGCGGGTCAATGCTATTGTACCTGGATACGTGGAAACAGACATGACAAAAGGTACGCATGCCACGGTGTTGTTTGTTAAGGCGTGCTCTAACCACGGCCAGACCTGAATGCCACTGAGCTTCAGCAACGCATCCCGTTGAATCGTTTCGGCAGACCCTCCGAAATCGCGCACGCAGCATTGTTCCTCGCAGAAAACCGATATGCACATAATTGTGTGTTGAACTTGGATGGCGGCTTATCTGCCGTCTGATTCCATTAACTTTACTACGCTGGTTGATGTCTTTTACATTCAACTGCCATTCCGGCCTTGCAAGACGGCCCAGTGGCGTTCTCCAGATGTGTTTCCTTCCACCAGATGATCCAGACCGAGGTATATACCCAGTGAGTCCTCCCAAAAGACGCCCATGCCAAACGTTTCCATGCGACTGATTGGTGTATAGTACAAGAGAAAAAGAAAATCTAGATGCCGCTTGCGCTTCGGTGACGCGCAGTTCGCTGGACTGATGTTCGTAGTGGGATGAGTAGAATGGCTGTCAAAGACGAATGAGGGCTGATGATCCAATAGCGAGACGAGAAGAATGAAGTATGTCGAATACTCCAATAATCGTCTGTAGACAGCCAAAACGATCATGAGGTCCAAGTGAGGACGATGCGCCAAGATGTGGGCAGCAACCCAACTTTTGTTGAAGGTTTATTCAGTCGTCATCAATGACAATCGCTCCGTCCTTGTCGTCCTCAATGGTTATGTGGCCGTCGTCTTTCTTCTGCGACTCCTCCATGACCTTGCCCTTCTTTCGGACGAAGTCGTCCTCCAGGCCTGCTTGGCTGGCTGTGCGCTTCGCAGCACCGTTCGTGCTTCCGTTTGTAACACCATTGGTAACGGTGCCATTGACAGTCGCATGACCGTTGGTCTCTGGCGCAGGTGCCTTGGGTTTGGTCGGAATCTTGATCTCATCGGGTAACCTGAGCGGATTCGCGTTCTCGGTGAACTCTGTGTGTATGATGCAGAGCACTAGATCAACTTTTGGGTCTTCTTCCGAGTCGTCAGAAACCGTGAGGAAGGTGTCATTCTTCAAGTTGAGTTCCTCAAATGTCTTCTCGAGATGAATGTCTTCGTCCATGTCATAAAGTATGTCTGAGTCGCGCTTGACGCTGAACTCTTCTCCGTAGCCGAGCTTCTCCTTTAGGACCATGTTGATCAGATCGCTTAGCTTCGCGCGCGGTGTATCGACGTGCAGGGTGGCATAGCATACACCACACGTCGCACAGTGGGGGTTCGGTGGTCGGAGTGATTCGCTTGAAATAACGCGCTCGGTGCTGCGGGTGAGGAAGACCATCTTGGCCTTGTCGAGCTGGTCGCGCATAACCTTGAAGGCTTGTAAGACGCAGAGACTGGCAGTCATGGCGTTTGTTGTCGCAATGGCAGGGATGATGTTGCCAGCCATTTCTGTAACCTGTTAGCAACTATTCCATCCATGTGTAGGCGCTTCCTTACGCTTGATGTCAAACTTTGACCGCATCTCGATGCCGAAGATGTGTGAGCGCAGATTGGCACTCGCAACGACAAAGTCGAGCGTATCTACATCGTCCTTGTCGAAGCTGAGAATAGGTGCCGCATTGCCAACGTCGGCATTTGCGCGCGTCTCTTCTAGGCGGGTGCTGAGTCGCTTGATACTGTCGACGAAGACGGCGAAGTTCTCGGCTACATTCCATGTGACTTGGTCTTGCTGCGCGATTCCCGTGCCCACACCCAGTGATTCTTGCATAAGCGCGTCGTAGTCCAACGCCTCTGGCGCCCGTTTGGTCTTCCACATGTCTTCCATGCTCCGTAACCGCTCAATGTCCTCTTTGAACACCTTGTCGAACACCAGTCGTGGGAAGTCTTGGGAACCCATGGAGTCGCGAATGCGCTTCAGCGCTTGTGCCTCCTTTTGCAGATTTGCGACTTCGCTTGCGTTGTCGGCATCTTCGCTGTGATCGAGTTCGGGCGCTTCGTCTTCCGAGGTGCCAAAGATTTCGGCGAACAGATACGACTTGCCCCATACTATGCAGTGGATGGGTTGCGAGGGTGTGCTTCGGATGGTGCATACGGGGAAGGACTTGGGCGCGGCTTTTGGCGTGCAGTCGTAGCATTCGGTTTCGCCCTATAATACAATTAGCACAATCGTTCAGTAACGTAGTCGCATTGAGGTCGCGCACCCTCTTGATAACCTGGACCTGTCCATTGAAGCCGGTCGTGCCACTCTCGATCAACGGCACATTGGCGGCAAGGCACATCCTGTTGACATGTCGCCGCGCATCGAGATTGTCCAGCGCATTGAAGACGAGGCCGAAGCTCTGGAACCACGCGACGTTGAACTGGCCATCCTTGATGTTATCGTGGTACGCAACGATGCTGACGTCGGGATTGAACTTGCCGGCCGACTCTTTCGCAACCTATGAGCTGTCAGCGCAAGGTCTCTCACCTATTTGGGGAGGTAGATCCTGCCGTACCAGTGCTTTGGACTTCTTGATATGCTCATTGCGGAACAGGAACTGGCGGTTGAGGTTGCTGAGATCGATGGTGTCGAGATCTACGATGTGGATCTCGCCGAAGCCGGTGAGGACGAGGTTCTTGAGGAGTTCGCAGCCAATGCCGCCAGCTCCTACCATCAAGACGCGTGACTAAAGCGCATTAGCGACTGCCCTGTGCCATGTTTGCGCGTGGTTGCAGCTACCTCTTTGATGCGCTGATGGAGCGTGCCACCGAGGCTCTGCCGAGCAAACTTGTCGCGTGCCATTGCGGGTTCGGGGGTGGGAGTAGGCGCGAGCGAGGTTGTGGTGCGGGCGAGGCTACGACATGCGAAAGTTGGCGAGGTGCCCGTCTCAGGTGAAGGCGACAGGTGAGAGACGTCAGTGCAGCTGGTAGCGCCGCTCCACTGGGCCTGCGCCGCTCGCGTTCAGCCTCCGAAGCTTGGCACCTAAACGAGCGCCCTATGAGTGGATCGTGGGCCTCTGAACTGCCGGGACACACTCTGGCTGCTGCTCGCTACGACAAAAAACTTGCTTGGGAGCCCGGTGGAGCTTACTAACGACATATACGAGCCGCCGCAGAAGTCCCATTCATCACGACTACCGGAACCGGAGCTAGCGCACACAGTCATCCATCATCATGTCCGACGACGAAGTTGACCATGAGCTGCTAGACCTCATGCGGAAGCACTGGGGTGGTGGTGCCAAAGAGGAAGGTCCGCCAGAAACAAAAGTTTTGGAGAATGCCCAGTTCATCTGCGATAACAGCATGGACGTTGCTCTCGATATGCGCTCAACCAAGGTCGCTGCCCAACTTGTTCTTGACGAGATGGAGAAGCGCGAGTATTCCACCAAAACATGGTCAGAGCATGAGCTGCACCCCAAAGCAAAAGACGAGAGCACTGTCAATTTCATCTTCACGATGGATCTGCTCAACTTCAGCTTCTGGAGCGAGAAGAGCGACGAGGAGCGCTTCGCAGTAGTCTACAAGGGAAAGAGATGGACTGGCTACTGGAGTCTGGTTGCCATTTTACAAAGAGCGTTGGAGCAAGACATACCCATCACTAGCCCGGAATTCTGGGTCGATGAAGAACTGTGTTCGGATGAAGTACTGCGGACTGTATTCTCTTCTGGTACCGACGAGGAGATTCCCATGTTCGAGCAAAGGATGCGATGTTTAAGAGAAGCAGGCCAAATCCTAGAGGAGGTGTGTTTGTGATGAACCACCAACACAGAAGAGCAAGTTGACTTATCACTGACGTTGCAGGAATTTGACGGTAGTGTCGTCACACTTATTGAAGACGCGAACAACTCCGCTGCCGGCCTTGTGAATCTACTCGCCGAAAAGTTCAACTGTTTCAGAGATGAAGGCAGGTTCGAGAACAAGAAGGTGCGCTTCTTG